TTAAGTGGAGCTAACAAAATACAATACAGCTGCTTAATTATTAAACCCTACATGTCAACAAGGCTGCTGCTGTCATTAATTACTAACGAGATGCAGACCCCGAATCAAATTGCCAGGCTTAATAAGTAATGGGACGCCATTGGATGTTTACTGGCTCATATATGGTCAACTGCACTCATTTCTGGATGAATGGCACAGATGTTAAACAGATGCAAACTTCAGGTCAGCAGGTGATAAAAAATACTTTATTCTGCAGGAGCTTGACCACAAGGTGGAAGCAAAGTTAATGATTAATGTTTTTTAGTGACAAATGAGACATTTCAGTTATTTGAAAAATCATCTGAGTTTGTGTGTTTGCACACAAATAGTCAATTTCTCCCTGGAGATCAATAAAGTATATTCAAATTCAAATTCAAATAAAACAAACATGTATTTTCTATGCAATTTGAATGTTTTATATCTTAATGTATAAAACAAAAAGATCTGCGTTAAAATCCTACCAAATACTAGTTTTAATCCTATGAACCAAAGCTTCCTTAGTTTTTTTATTTAATTATCAGGTAATTTTTGTGTTTTCTACACAAACTGACTTCATAAACGACGTTTCCACCATAATGTGGCAAATGTCTCCACAAGATCCCAGTCGGCCATTTTGATTAGGTCACCAACAGGAAGTTGGCTACTCGTTTGGTAATCTTAGTTGGGGAAAATATGTAATCATAAGCTCTTCCCAGATGAATCCTATTTTCTTGCCTTTGTCATTGGTAAAAGTAGCCGACACCACAAACCCGTTAGACTGATCTCATTCTAACAATGCAATTTTCGTAGAATTTCATTCATTCATTCCTTTCAGGTCTTAGCAATCCTGGCTCCGCTGAGCATAAAGCTCTTTACAAAGCAAAAAATGCTCATTCACCCACATACAGAGGCATTCATAAAGTACGTAAGCTGGACACACAAACACACACACACACACACTGCCAAATCTCCTTAGAGTTGTGCTGAGTGGGTTCGGCCTTCTGTGAGCGACTCACGTCTTTCAGCCAATCACGACCTGCAGGCAGTCAGACCACCTGGAAATCCAGCCCTTCCCGGGTTCACGGGCAGGATGATTTTGGTCAAAGTGCTTTTGTGGAAAACCTGGAGGCATTGCCAGAACTAGTGATGTAAAAAAATGGCTGCATGACTTAACTCAAGTTTGATTATATCACCCTCGGTTAAATAATGATTCTGTTTCTTGTATTTCAGCACTTTCTTGTGGCCTAATTTAACTGTAAACACAATTAATTCATTGTAAATACACATCTATCTATCTATCTATCTATCTATCTATCTATCTATCTATCTATCTATCTATCTATCTATCTATCTATCTATCTATCTATCTATCTATCTATCAAAATATATATACACACAATTTCATGTTGGTCCCTATATTAAAAAAGATATTGTTTTCATTATTGGCACAGTTAAGTGTTAAATGCAGGGTCAAGACATTATTTCATATTCAAAGCTGTTTTAAGATGCTTTTTCCAACTATTTTGGCACAACAGGGCGTCTGAAAAACATTTATCTATGTCTCAAAGATTTCAAGGTGTGGTTTGAAATACCATTGACATAACCATCCCAGGGGCGAGGACATAATGAGAAACTCCACTTTTTTTCTGAATGTTTTTATTGAACCATGCAACAGTGCCAACATACAGGTAGGACCAGATAAGAAATAAGTGTCATGGGGGTGGATCTTAAGGGAGGACTCAGTCGCGGAGATATGAAGTTTGATGGGTTTATTTATTGCAACAAAAAGCACTCAAAACGGAGTGCATGGCAGGACAAGGATCAAAACAAGGTTGGCCAAACTATGAGCAAAGTAACAAAGCAAGGTTAACATGGCTGTGGCAAAAACAAGGCTATGGCACAAAAAATAAGACTATGGCACAAAAAATAAGACTATGGCACAAAAAATAAGACTTTGGCAAAGTGCATAAATCAAAGCCTTACGTGGCGAGGGGTGACGAAAAGTGACGGAGGACAAAACAATGACGAAAGACGAAAACGCACTGGCACAGGACATGGGAAACGATGATTATTTAAACACATGAGGGAGGGGAACCCCAGGTGAACACAATAGGTAATCAAGACATGACAATACACCAGACATTCCCCCAGATAAGAAATAAGGACAGCAGCAAATGTTACGTCCTTTACCTTTGGAAAGCTCTTTTGTCTGAATACTTTTAAAATACTTGACTGGCATTGGAAAGGGCAGCTATATGTGGGGTCAATTTCATTCGTTATTTTAATCAAAATATTAAAATAGTCAGTGGAGTGAAGCTCTGGAACAGCTTGCCTGAAAATATTAAACAATGTAATAGCATCCAGCAATTCGAAAAGCAATATAAGAAAAGTATTTTTGATGAATACAAAAAAGAATAATACATAAAAAGTTATACTGTTTGTCTTACTGTAATTGTCCTTTACCACCATGTGACTGAGGGGTAGGGCTTAATAAGCTTATGCTTCATCCTGCTCCTTTTTGAAACATGATGCATGTTTAGGAAGCATTCTATGTAAAACTTTGTAAAATCATATCATGTTTCAAAATAAACGAAATGAAATGAAAATGAAAATGAAATGAAAATTCACAATGCAGGTGAATTAAGAGGTCCTGGCCGAGATTCAAAGATTTGAGGTGAGACTATAGTTGAGCCACATGCTTTTTTATGCTTTTTAAGTGGTCCTGCAGTCCTCTGTTATAAGCAGCTGGTGTTTTAGGTATTTAAGTAGGAGTTTTCTTTCTAAGCAGGAAAACTCCTACTTAAATACGCTTCCATATATTTGCTGCATTCCTGCTGCCGGTTCGTGTCTGCCCTCTAATTTACTTTGCGCTTCAGCTTTGATTTGCATTTTCTTTTTCACTCCTAACATCGTTTGAACAAAGTGCAGAAAGTTTCAACATGAGAGATTTTAGCTATGTCTTTGCACGGTGTTATAAGAGGAGGCAACAATTAAATCATGGGGACAATGGGGGGTCTCAGAGTGGTTTCAATTATTTTGTGGTCGTAGTTTTTGTGTGGCTGGTATGTGGGACATGTTATGACAACTGTGGTCTGGAATAAACAAACACAGGCCAAACATACGTGTCATTTCAAATTGCCTTTTTATGAATTTAGCATTTTGACTTGGAGGCCACGAGCTTACCATGAATTCTGTTAGGTCCCTAATTTAGTGATAATGCAAAGTAAGACATTACTGTCAGTTAATAAATTAACATTTGGAAAAAAAAATCAACATCATGCCACGTTGAGATGTTCTTAAAGCATCTAAAAGCAGCAACAAGCTCAAAATATGTAGGAGTTTGACGGACTGATCAGGGTTAAAAGAAGAACATTTTACTTACACTTTGACCTATTTTGACTCATGTTCCCTTTGACTCTTATAATTTGATCTGTTTTCTCACATGTTCAACCTCATCAGTGCCAAAATATGCAGGTTAAGGCCTCAAGAAATCACACTCCCTCCGGTTAAATTACTGTGTCAATACAAAACAGGTCCGATGTGACTGAGCACGTTTGGGAGAGACAGAAAATGGCTCATTAAGATGGATTTGTAAAGACTAGTAGAGAGCTTCAGTGGAATTTAAGCCTGACGGGGGAACAAATGCTGTTAAATGAGCAACTGAGTAATGTTTTTTTTAACAGTTTTTAAAGAGATGGCTATGTTCTTGATCTTTTCTATCAAATGAATTAGTCACAGAGTCACATTCAAAAGAAAAATACAAACAAAGAGGATGTCTATGTTACAAAAAAGTCCAGCTAAACTGTAGGAATCTTTTTTGTTAAGCATCTACACATAATATTCAACATCATGTCACATTCAGACTTATAGCATCTAAAAACAGCAGCAAGCTCAAAAAATGTAGGAGTTTGACGGACTGATCAGGGTTAAAAGAAGAACATTTTTGTTTTTACGAGACATTTTACGTCTTGTCTTTCACATGTCAACATTTTACAATTTACAAGAGACTCCATGAACTGATTGTGTCTCAGATAATTCCAGTTTTTTTGTCTCAGCAATCATAGTCCTTCACCATGGTGAAAAGAAAGGTGCATAAGCTGGTCCAGGAGGTGCTGCAGAACTCCCCTGCCAGCTTTTTATTAGCAGGCCGACAGGATTTGACAGCTTCGGCCGCCACAGGTGGAACAAAAGGCGAGAAAGTCTCCTTTTTCTGAGCCACCTGGAGTCTGAAGTGAGCGCTTTGCGGGGCTTTTTTGCACATGCCGGCCTTCACCAGCGCACTTCTGCCGCCACACAGGCTCCTCTGCTTCTTCAGAGCTCTGGAGATCTGCTTCCAGTAAAGATCCCCGTTGGAGGCGTACTGGGGACAGGATCCCGGCCTGGCAGCGTACTCACACCTCAGGATCCCGTCTGCTTTCTTGCAGGTGATATTTAGGATGACGGGATCCTCCCCGGTTGCGACCCAGGAACATTCAGCCTTGTCTCTAGTGAGGAGTTTGCCTTTAATCAGCCGTGCAGAGCCAGATTTGGGTTGGCGACCCGCCTTTGGTCCGGTTCTTCCCCTCTTTCCGTGGCCCCTCTGACAGCTGCCCACCATCACATGGTGAGAAAAACAAGCCACGACCAGAAGGATGGCGACGTTGGTGAGCAGAGCCATGAAACCTGCACAGCACACTCTGGAAGAGGAAAGATTTTGGATTTACAGATCTGCCCTCAAATCTCTTTAACTCCCTTTTTGGAGTGAAACCCATTCTAATCGTGCTTTAGACCTGCATTTCTAAAGAAAACTCATAATTGGGGTTGATATTCATGGCTGAAAGAAAAGGCTAGACTTTTTGCAAAGCACCCACAAGGCTGATAGAGAGATATCTTAGGCCCATTCCAGAGTAAAAGATACACACATATAGATCGCTATAAATCTGTAAAAAAAAAACATTATCCTATTAGTTAAAGAGAGCAGAATCTAAATACGAGGCCAGAGCTAATTCAAGTTTAATCTGCAGAGGTATGGATAGCCACACACTAAGTCCTGACAACGACACCAAATAGTAGAAAATAATAGCTGAGACGTACCTGAAGTTTTCAGATAAAATGGTTTTCCGTCCTGAGAGCTGGAACGCCTTTACCTGCAGCTTTAAAGCAGCTGCTGTGTGATCGGTCCGCCTCTTTACACACACACACACACACACACACACACACACACACACAC